GGGAACCCACCTAAGAGAAATGAAAACGTATGTCCACACCAAGACATGCACATGAATAATGCCCACAGGTACATTATTCATAATAGCCCCAAACTCGAAACTCAAATGTCCCTTAACGGATGAACAACAATTAAACAAAATGTGGTATGGATCCACACAAAGGAACACCTGTCAGCCATCAGAGAACGAACTGATACATGCTACAACACGGATGAGCCTGGAAAACATGCTACGTGAAAGTAGCCAGATTCAAAAGGCCACACAGTCTACGAGTCCATTTATATGTACAAAGGCAGAGGGCTGGGAAGCAGGTCAGTGGTCGCCTAGGGCTGGGAGTGGGAGCGGAATGGATGTAAGCAGACACAGGGATCTTTGTAGGGTAATGAAAATGTCCTAACACCGGGTTATGGTGATGGTTGCAAAACTCCATAAATTTACTCAAATCTCTGAACTGTATACTTTCAGTGGGTGAATTTCAAGGCATGCATGTTATACCTCAATAAAAGTGTTATAAAAACAGAACTGAAAAGCTCTAGTGCCAAGCCATTCTGTGCACAGCTGAATGATGCATGGGGGAAAGGAAGGTGGTATCCCTTAGCAAAACACAGGTGTTGCTGCAGTAAAACATCCAATGTGACTTATCGTATCAATCAAATCCAGTTCTAAAGTCTAACCGCAGTCAGCTTTTACCAGGTATCACAATCCTAAGAGGACAGTACGAATATTACCCCCATTTTACAGATGAGAAAACAGAATCTGAAAGGGAAAGCAGCTCACGCGAGGACCCACAGCTACTAAGTGGCAGAGCTGGGACTGGGACCTGGGCCTGCCCGATTCCGGAATCTGTTCTTTGCCACTGCTCCCTACCTCCTCCCCCTACCGCCTTCCCCACTGACTCCCTGGCCCCCAGCAGGAACACACAGCACTGCTCAGGCAAGCAGAGCAAGGACGCTAAGCTGTCTTACCTTGCTGGATAGGTCTCCAGCACCAATGCTCCCTGGAGATTCCCTAACCACTAATCAAGAAAGGCCTTGGCCGAAACCGGTTTGGCTCAGTGGATAGAGCATCGGCCTGCGGACTGAAAGGTCCCAGGTTCGATTCCGGTCAAGGGCATGTACCTGGGTTTCGGGCACATCCCCAGTAGGAGATGGAACGCACAGCACTGCTCAGGCAAGCAGAGCAAGGACGCTAAGCTGTCTTACCTTGCTGGACAGGTCTCCAGCACCAATGCTCCCTGGAGCCCCCCTAACCACTAATCAAGAAAGGCCTTGATGTACGTAAGCAGCACATTTTGGTGAAGGCACTAGCGTCACTTTCCGCCTGGAACACGTAGTTCCCAAAGCCTGTCTGAGTGTCCCAGGGTTTAGCAAAGATGAGCCAACACTCAGGGGTAGAGACAACCTTAGGTTCAGCCACAGGCCTGCCCAGATGAAGTGCTCACTCAAGCTTTGCATGGGAGCTGCAGGTTTCCAGGGAGCACTCCACGCCGGGCCCTACAATGCCACCCTGTCCTCCCGGCACACCGGCCTGGCAGGGAGCTGGCAGCAGCCTCCTCACCTCTGGTCCGTGGCAGACAGAGCTCATTGTTTTGTTTTGTTCTCTCTCTCTCTCTCTCTCTCTCTCTCTCTCTCTCTCTCTCTCTCATAGCATTACCTGTTCGCTTCTGCCAGGCCAAGGCACTAAGAGGCTGTGCAGCCGTTTCGATAGCATTTTCTGCAGGCTGCCTGGCAAGCCCACGGAGGCCTAAGAGTGTGCGTGTCTCTGAAGGGAGTGGACCCTGCACGTCCAAAGTCTTTCCTGTGATAAGCCCAGGCCTTGTGCGCACTGGACAGGGCGTCTCCTCTCCCCTTGTCCCCTCCACCCCAGACACACTGGCTTCCTGCCGCTACTCAAATGAGCCAGGTGCATGTCCTCCTGCTGGCTTTTTAAAAAAAATCTGCACCTGAGGAGGATATGTTATTTATTGATATTAGAGACAAAAGGGGGGGGAGGGAGAGAGAGAAGAAACATCGATCAGATCGGCCACCTCCCACACACGCCCCGACAGGGGTCGAACCCAAAACCTAGATATGTGTGCCCTGACTAGGAATGGAACCACAGACCTTTGGAGTTCAGGCTGATGATACTCTAACCAAAGGAGCCAACGGCCAGGGCCTCCTGCTGGCTTTTTGCAAGTACTGCTCTCACTCCTTGGAACACTGTTCCCCAGGTACCATCTTGTTCCTTCTTTTACCTTCCTCAGGTCTTTGCTCAAATGCCACCTTTTCAGTGAGGCCTTCCTGAAAACCATGTAAAATTGCAACCTCCACCCCAGCACTCCCTTCCCTGTTCTGCCATATTTTCCTCATAGCGTCTACTCCCATCTGACCACTACCTATTTCCTGTATTTGTCCATCTCCCTCCCCACGGGTGTGCTAGAGGGGAGGGAGTTTGCCTTTTCTAGGTCTGTCTCTGCAGTGCCTAGAACAGAGCCTGACATGGACGGAGTGCAACCAATATCTTAGAAGGAGCAATGCAGACACCAAGGGAGATTTTGTCAGAGACCAGCTGGGACTTCTCAAGCCAGCTCAGAGGTGACACCAGCCAGTCTAGGAGAAACCAGTAGGGACCTGTCAACATGCCACATGGAGACAGCTGCACCAAGACACAATCCATGCCTCCCCCACGTCTGCACAAAACCACACTGCGGGTACCTGCAGGTGCTGGTCCATTCTGCCAGACCTCGTGGGCCAGCTTCTTGGGAGGCCCTCTGAAGTCTGGGTGGGTGACCCCGCTGGCTGGAACATAAGGAAGGCATCTCAGACGCTGAGTGAGAACGGGGTGGATGTCGTTTCTGGAACAAACTGTCATTCCCCAGGAACGCTGAAGAGGGGATGTCAAATGCATGGTAAAGGATGAAGCCCCGACAGGGCCTGGTCTGGGCAGGTGCCAGGAGAATTGGCCACACATGCCTTGAACCCAGCTCTTGTCCAGGCTCACATAACAGCACTGTTCCTCTCCCTGGTCTACAGCTTCCTCCCCACCCACCTGGGCCATGATGACGGGCTTCCCATCCAAGCTGACAGAAGCCCTCTGCCCTGCGGTCACTCCATACAAAGAACAGATGCCTGGTCAGGGGCGGAGGGGTGGTAGGCAGTTTCTCCCAGCGCATTGCTCATTCTGCCCACTACAAACCAGATCCCTTTCCCAAGCTGAAGGCAGTAGAGCGGGAACAAAACCATGAGTGTTAAAAGCACAGTGGTGTCAGACAGCTTGGTTTTGAATTCCAGCTCTGCCACCAAGTAGATGGGTAATCTCGGGCCATCCCTTTACCTCTCTGACCCTTAGTTTCCTTATCTGTAAAATGGACTAACAACCGTATCAGCTTTGTTGGGTAGTTGTGAGAATTAAGCAGAATTCCTACATGCAAGCCCAGTTCCTGGCAGATGGTAAGTGTTCCATACATGTCAGATCCTGTTGCTACTGTTGTTATAAAATAAAGGAAGAGAGGGAGGAAGTCAACCCCTAGCTACCTGCTCCCAACGGCTGAAGACCTCCAAGGTTATGATTCCCGAGGCAGGTGAAATTGCTGGTAATTAAGGTACTAGAAAGGCAGCCTTTCTCCTTTGGGCTTCAGAACCGTGCAGGCTCAAGAAAAACCAGCCTGAAAGGAAACTTCGCAGTGACCATGGGAATTATTCCAAAGACGGGCTGTCGGGGCTAAAAGTGTGACTCTGGAGGGGGAGGAGAGGAGACCCCAAAGCCACCAAATCCCAGAGTTTATAATTAGTAGCCCAGCATCCTCTGTGCCTGCACGAGGGCCTGCCTGGCTCAGGGGGAAGGGCACACATAGTCATACAAAAACAACCCCCCAGTGGGTTTTTGAAGTGCTGAGCCTCTTTGTTTGTCTGAATTTTAATGAGGGGCCAGGCAGGATGAGAGCAGCACTCACTCCCTGGCCAGGAGTGGGCTTCGTTAGCTGCCAGCCTGCACCGGCCTGATCCAAAGCGGCATCGAGGAGGGGCGGGCCCTCAGATGAGATGTCTTGGGGAGGAAGAGAGAAAAACAAAAACTAAAGATGCCTGTTTAGAAGAAGGCTCGGGCTCTGCTCCAGATCACAGAGACAAGCAGCTGCGTGTCTGAAAGGGCAGAGGGAGGCCGGGCTCCCTAAGAGAGCGTTTCTGTGGAAGGCTCAGGGCTGCCACGCTGGCCCCTGCTTCCGAGAACCAGGAACGAGGCTCTGGGAACCTGTGGCAGAAGGAAACATGCTTTGGGAGCCCCAGGCACAGGTTGTGGGAAGATGGTGAAAGGGGAGTGCTATCAGAAAAGCCCCCAAACCCCGATGTGAGGAAGGGGTCACCTTTTCACACCCACTTCCTGCTGTGTCTTCAGCTAAGCCACCTAAAAGCACGAAGGAGACAGTGCAACTTCACTGATTCAAGGGAAAGTCCGCAGTAAGAAAGGCGTCCCACCAGGCCACCCGGCAGACAGCTGCTTGCAACCCCCATACCCGGGCCCAGGTGCTTACAGGTAGATGCTCCAGGGAACTGCTGTGGCCTCTGTGACTGAGCAATTTCTTCGCTCCCTGATCTAGCTTTCCCTCATGCTCTCCCACAGTGGGCAGAGCTCCCATAAGATTGTTTAAAAGCTGCTTCCATCTCCATGAGTCTTTCCAAGAGGGTGCTGCAAAGAAATGGGAGAGACAGCCACAGAAAAAAACAATTTAGCCCTGGACGGTTACTCAGTGGTTAGAGCATAGGCCTGCAGACCGAAGGGCTGTGGGTTCGATTCCCTGCCAAGGGTACATACCTCGGTTTCAGGTTCCTTGGCCCCTATTGGGGCGTGTAAGGGAGGCAACCAATTGATGTGTCTCTCTCATGTTGATGTTTCTCTCTTTCTCTCTCTCCCCACTTCCCTCCCTTCTACTCTCCCTAGAAATCAATGGAAAAAATATCCTCTGGTGAGGATTAAAAAAAATTTTTTAAAAGAAAAAAGCAATTTATTACAACTGAAAATATCAATGCAGTCTCCTGAAAGTAAGTATTTTTATTACAAAATATTCCATATGAAAATTCTAAGTTCCTTGCAAGCTTTTTTAGTTTTAGGCTTATTGCATTTTTTAAAAAGTCCAAAGCAGAGGTTATTCTGTGCAGAGAGTGGTCTGTTGTCCCCCAGGGCTCAGGTGTGTGCAGACTGTCCCTCGGGGTCCTCCTTCGCTGCCAGCAGCAGGTCTCACTCGGTGAGAAGCTCTGAGGACACCTCAGTGTACAGACGGTCCCAGTCCCAGCCGACGTCGTCCTGCCGAGAGAGGTACTGCTAACTTTCTTGGGACAAAGGGAAGCCTTTCCCTGCAACCGTAGCCCACTGCCCAAGCCCAGCAGCCAGGGAGGCCGGGGTCAGCCTGGGAAGCCAGCTGGTTAGAGGAGCCAGTGGCTGAGGGAGCAGGAAGCTGCTACTGCTACGTACTTCCCGAACTTCCTGCTCTGGCGCGAGCACTTTGGTGAGGAGCTTCAAGTCGATCGTTCCATCCTATAAATGCAAATATATATATATAGATAGATATAGATATAGATATAGATATAGATATAGATATAGATGTGCATTTCGAGAAGCCTTCAGATAATTAACTCTTGTAAAGTGAGGAGGATCAGGTTGTGTGGGGTAGACTTCCCAAACCCAGAGCTGCAGGAATGCTTTCTGAAAGAGTAAGAATGTGAGTGCACACAGCCACTGAGGGGACGCCACAATACCCCCAGGCTGGGCATTCTCTGGGGGAAGGTCAACATCAGGAGGGCAAGGCATGGCAGCAGCCTTTCTCTAGGGCCTGCGTATCTATTGACCCCAAGTGGGCAGCCATGGAAGCAGGTGGGAGCTGTGTTGGGAAACACTGCAATATGCAGCCCGGAGATGCTGCAATACCCAAGGACTGTTGCCAGGCAACCTCAGAGGCGCATGGAGGAGATGAGAAATCCCTGGGGATGTTGCCTGGAGCCCACCCCTCTATGCAGGAGCCGCTCTACTCACCAGGGTCTGAAAGGCTGCACACTTCATGAGGTCATTGTCCAGGTCACGGTAGGTCATCACCCGGTTTACTTGGACACTGCAGGAGAGAGAATGTGAGGAAACCACAGGCAGGACCAGTTCCAGGAGTGCTGCTGGGCCACCGTCCCAGAGCCTCCTAGGCAGCTAGGGAAGCCCAATCTGGGAAGAAAGTGTCTAATAAAATGGGAACCCTGGGGGGCCCCCACCAGCAGCTGGGTCTGCACTGGGGGGCAGCACCACTGTGGATGGCACTTGAAGTGTATTAGCTTGCATGTTCCCTGCCTCCCTCCAGCTTCAGACCTAATTAACATACCTGGGCGGGGCTGCCACCTGCAAAACAAAGTCTTCTTCCTGTACTTCTTCCAGATCCGGAATAACAGGAATATCTGCAATGAGAGGAGGCGGCAAAACGGTCAGCAACATGAAGAGGGATCTTGCCTGCTTCTTCATGTGTTACTTATTCCTTCAACAGGCCAGCATGGGGCTATCAGCTGGGGGTAGAATGGACAGACAGACACAGTCTCTGGCCTCCAGGGGCTCCCGGTCCAGGGCTGTGGGACTGAACTACAGGTGCACATTAGAATCAAAGGTAGAATGTCAACAAGTCCCAAATCCTGGGCTTTACCCCAGAACCAGCTGGATTAGAACCTCCCGGGTAGGGCTCAGGCATCTGTATTTTCCCTAAGATTTCTTCGACGATCCTGATGTTCACTCCAGGTTAGGAGTCACTGGTTTGGGTCTCCAAGGAGAAATGTAAAGAAATGAGAAGAGCGTCCCAGGCAGCGTTAGAGGAGGGAAGGGGAATCAATGAATAAGCCTGGCAACGGTTGGAGACAGAGGAACTGAGAAAGCGCAGTGCCACGAGGTGAAGGTCACGATGACCTCCCCGTGACCGAGGTGCACATGTGCATTAGCTCATTGTAGTCTCTGCAATCATCACAGGCTCCATGGCCCTGAGCCTGCATCTGAAGGTCACTGTACATGTAATGATACAGCCTGTCTCCCAGCCGTGTATCCGAGATCAGGCCTGCATTTGCCAGGTCTACTGCAAAACAGTGCTGCTCCTAAAGATGACGCTGCTCTTGCTGTCGCACAGAGACTTTCCTTGCCTGGACTCTCCACATGAGACAGACATACAGACATAGAAGGAGCCCCACGGCCACTTCTTTCACCAATTTAACGACGTCATGCAAATGGAGAAACAGGCAGCACATCACTTAACTGTGGCAACTGACTTAAGGTACAAAAATAGCCCACGTCCTCCTGGGGACAACCTAACACCTGACAGAAGAATTTCCTTCTTCAGCGAGTATTACTGACCGGTAGAGGGTTTTCTTTGTTTTAACCAGACTGCAGAGAGGGGCAGAGTGAAGAAAGAGGTAATGCAGGAAAAAAGGCCAAGTGGGCTGAGACAGTCCCAGAATTCCCAAACCAACACAACTATCAAAAGGAGGAAAACATCCCAGAGAGGAAAGTAAAAAACCCTTCACTTCTGCTTCCATGGACTGAATTCAATATTATTTTTAAAAGAGATGCAGAATCGTTTCAAGAAAATGAAGACCCTCGCCTCTGTCAGGCTATTCAGTACTTAAACTGAGGCTGCTGTAGTCAAGTGAAGCCCAAATATTTGTGTGGCAGTTCCAGGCCTGGAGTCTTTATTACTGCTTCAGACTGTGACGTTCCGGATGCTGTACCTGGAAAAAGAGAAAGTATGCAAGGGAGACACAGAAAATAAGACACACAGAGAAAGAGACAGGCGAAGAAAGAGAGTAATTAAAAGAATGAAAGAGGTAAAATAAAAAAGAAATGGCTGATAGGGAAAATAAAGACATATACACTCCCCCAAAATGATGAGCCACATTCGGCAAGTCCTCTGTCTAGAAAGATGCTGCTCAGAGCTTAGCCTGCATCTCCCTATCCTGCTGAAGAATTAGAGATGGAATTCTCTAGGATGCCGTCTTATGCTAACGGAAATTGAGCTTTCTTCCTCACTCTCGCTCTGCGTGACTAACACTCCATGGTGAGGGCTGCGCTGACAGTGCCGTCGGAGCCCAGGGCGGGTGGGGCCCCCAGGCTGGTGGGACCGCGCAGACCCAGCAGCGGGGTAGGGGGAGGCTGGCTGTGCCATGCGCCATCAGCAGCGTGACAGGTAGTGATCCAGTTAGCTGCTCCTGGCTCTCCTCGGACGTGGAGTCCAGCCTGAGATGAATATTCAGAAGTTGGTAAGAAAGTGCCCCATGCTGCGTGGGGGGCTCAGGACGGGTCTTCCCAAAGTCCCCTTTCCCTCCACACACTAGCATTTGGGCCCTGTCAACTCTGCCCAGCTTCTCCCAGCTCTGAGGACTGCACTGCGGCCCAGTGTCCACTCTGACTCCCCACAGGCCTCTCGCTTCATCCCCACCCCCTCCTCCAAATGTGCACCAGGGAGTGTGGGGCTGGCCCATCTGTGACAGATCAGAGGTCAGTCCGGGCCTTGGCAAAGGCGCCTCTCAGAGTGGCACTGGTGGGGCTGGCCACACAGTGGGATTTCTCTCTAATTGGAAGCCTGGTGCCCAACAGAACCCGGTGCACCGCCTGAGTGGGACAGAGCCAGCGATGACAGCCAGGCCAAGGCAAGCTGGAACATTCCGGTGCAGTGACAGCTTGAGCCATCGCAGCAGAGTCAGGCCATCCAACTCCCGGCCCCAGTGGAACAGGTGGCCGTGGAGCAGGTTTTGGGCAAACTTCAAAGAACTTCACAATTTTACAGTTTCTGATTTATAATCACAGACAAGTACTTGCTCATGTGTACATAATAGGTTTGGGGAATTTTTGTTCTTTCTCTCCTTCCGCGGCCCCCCGCCCCCGCCCTAATCCCACACACATACCATGAACAAATCTAGAAAAAGAAAATGGACTTAAGAAATCCACCTCTTCACAAAATTACCTACACGAAACGGCCCTGCCTGCACTCAGCACAGCTACTTGCCTGCAAACCTGGACTCGTGACCCAGTCTCATTCAGGTTGTCAAGTTTAACTTTCAAATGCACAGGATTTTAATAGAGACAAGAGGAATACAAGAATCTGCTCTAGTACTGTTGAAAGCTACCGCTACTTTAAAAACCTAATAACTGTGTTAACTTTATTCTCATTTTCTTCCACGATGCTGAAGAACATGAACAGAAACAATGAGTTAAGTATATGGTAGGACTCCTGTCCAGCAGTTACGAGTGCAGGCTCTGGAGGCAGGATGGTTGGCTTCGACTCGCCCATGTACTAGCTGTGTGACTTTATCCTCTCTGTGCCTCAGTTTCCTCATCTATGAAACTGGTAGAATTGTGCCCACTGCATTCGTTGTTGTATTAAATGCAACAATCTTTATAAAATGCTAAGTGCCATGCTATTTGGATTCATTTAACAGATAGAATATTGAGCATGGAGAGAAAACTATAGGTCTCTACCACCGGTTTCTCATTTACTCCTGCCCATTCTCCAGATGAGAACACTGAGGCTGAGGAACATTAGCAGTTTGCACTAGGTGAAACCATTAATAACAGAACCGGGCTTCCCACTCCTGTCTGACTGCACCCCGAGCTTGTCCACACCTCCCCTGCGCTTTCTTTGCAAAGGCACAGAGACGCCTCCTATAGGTGAGACACTGCCTGCTGACCAACAGCTTTCACTTTGCCTGAGACTCAATGTCCTCTGTTCTTGAGTATTTCCTTTGATTGGTTACCTCCTGCATGCCTCTCACTGGGGATCAAGCCCACAACCCAGGCAAGTGCCCTTGACCGGAATCGAACTCGGGACCCTTCAGTCTGCAGGGTGATGCTCTATCCATTGAGCCAAACCGGCTAGGGCCTACCTGTCTTATTTTTAAAGGTAAAAATAATATCCTATGTGGTAATACATACAAATACTGCAGAAAAGTTTAAAATGAAAATTCCCTTTCCTTATATGAGCCCCAGTTGTCTCCCTAGAGGTAGTTGCTATTAACAAATTCTTGTATATACTTACTGAAAATAAGTTATGCCTACCACAGCACACACATCCTTTAAAAAAATGTTTACAAATGGGATCACTTTCCATTTGTGTTATCTGTAACTTGCTTTTATCCTTCCTGATAATGTACCGATACATCTTATTCTTTTAAGTGGCCACCTAATGTTATTGACCAGATGCTCCATAATGTATTTACTCCCGTCCAGGGAGGACCTAATTTAGAATTTTGGGGGTGGGGTGGGTGGGAGTTAGGGAAGCTCCCTGAATTAGGGACAATGCAGCTGAAAGCTGAAGGATAAGCAGGATTCAACCAGGCAGGGGATGGCATGTGCAAAGGCACTGAGGTGAGAAGCACCCTGTAACACTGAAGAAACTGAAGGCAGGCCGGTGTGGGTGGCATGTGGGGCCCGGGGCAGAGTGGCACGGGGTGAGGCAGGAGAGAGGTGCCTGGTGCCAGGTGAGGAAGATCTGTATCAACCAGCCAGGAAACAGGGACTAGTGCCTGTTACACACAAGACCCCTCTGAGGCACATTAGGGGAAACCACGATGGACTAAGCCAGCGGTTCTCAACCTGTGGGTCGTGCCCCCTTTGGGTGTCGAACGACCCTTTCACAAGGGTTGCCTAAGACCATCAGAAAACACATATGTAATTACATATTGTTTTTGTGATTAATCACTATGCTTTAATTATGTTCAATTTGTAACAATGAAAATACATCCTGCATATCAGATATTTACATTACAATTCATAACAGTAGCAAAATTACAGTTATGAAGTAGCAACGAAAATAATTTTATGGTTGGGGGTTCACCACAACATGAGGAACTGTATTAAAGGGTCGCAGCATTAGGAAGGTTGAGAACCACTGGACTAAGCAAAGTTGCAAAGAGGGTCTATATGTAAAAAAATAATAAATGAACAGAATAAGGAAAATACACACCCCTTCTTTTATGAATCATCTGGGAATCCAACAGGCAGAATTCAGAGCTTGCTACTTTGTCTTTCCATCATTCTTCATTCAAGGCCACAGGGTAGACCTCACTACCCTGCAGTAGGTAAAGTAAGTGATACTGGCCCTCGGCCTGCCCCCTAGATAGTGAACTAGCTGAGGGCAAGGACCACATCCTGGTCACTTCTGCATTCCCAAGGACTGGCAAACTAAAGGACAACAGAACAAAACTGAGTCCATAGATGCCCCTCACATCTGAAAGTCACACACACGGAAGAGCCGTGTCAATCTTCTCTATACTATCCCATTACAGTGTAAGTGCTCCTGAATCCTCAAGTTGCCTAAGTGGGTTCGCTTCACAAGAATAACCAAGAGGGTTCCTTGCGTACTTCCTAAATTTGACAACATCCTAGCAAAGGCTTTGCCTCCCCTCAGAGCTGCTCCTGCTGGGAA